GGTCTATTCACGAAGCTGACTTATCGCTAAGAGTTTGGTAATGTTATCGTAACGAACTAATTAAGCTAAATGTAGTTTTAAAGCTGCGAGAGAAGCAATATATTTTCGATTTACGACAAAACATGACCTGTTTTAAGGGTTGACGATAGGTAAACTTGTGGAAAACATATGGCATGTTAAAGAAAAAGAGTTGGTAGAGTATGTCTCCTGAATGATCCTTGACTACAAAACCAGGTGGTTCCACCTGCGCTTCCAAAACACGAACAGCAGATCTCTGGTCAACACGTCACAATCACCGCATTTACCAATAATAAAATATGTCAAAAGGTGGTCGCGATTAAAAATATCTTCTTCATATATTTCCGTTGAAAACAATTGTAGCGTGTGTGAATGCTTTTGCACTTGCCGTGACATTTTCGTGACAAGGGAAGTTTATAATATTCCGAAAGATGGGAAGCAACGGCACCCCTGCAAACGTTCCGCGTCATCTGCCATGCGTTGTCTTTGCGACATTTCAGTATTGTACACAATCACGTGTATGATATTCTGCTTACGCTGAATGCGAAAGAAGCCGAAAGTCGGTTAAATAATACCGTGAGTTTTACGCTCGACGTCTTGCCAATGCAAAGAGTATCTTTATTCTTTTGTTGGCAAATATGCATGTACATGCACAGACAATCATTACACTAATATTTAACAACCATACGTTGTTTGCTAAGGGAAATTATTAAAGATTTGCGTTCTGAACAGTACATGTAATCAATCAGTTACTCGTAGTATTTTATTCCAGCGAACCCCGAGTTGTGAAAGATGATGATTCAGAATATCGATGGTCCCAGAAGAGTTCTTGAGCTGATAAGCTTGGTTTATGGAAGTTTGATAAAGGGAATTAAGATCAGTCTTGCATATTAGTCTGTTAGGCAAATGAGAGTCAGTTCTTTCATCAAGTGCGATACAATATGAATTCAATATTAAAACAAAAATGAAACTGTTACAAACGACATGTAAGTTTTTACATGTATTATCGCGTTTCCGCTATTTACATGTTACAACCATGATCGTAAAGTGATGTTAGCATGCGACATTGGACGTTGTATACATATAACTAACAATGTAACGTTTGCAATCTAACACAGACAATATTGATTCCTGCATAACCCTGCATTAATTTCTTCATATCGTCGCAACATGATACATGTGTAGTACAAGAATTATTTGTGCGATTACAGGAGTGTTTCAGAGGTTGAATTCTATTGGCCTTGTTCGTGCATTGACGGATCTGTTGGTCTTTGATAATGGAAATCGATGTGTGAAGGACTCTGACTGCCCCAGTTCCAACACAGTGCCACCATCTGTCAATCGGCAAAGTGTGGAGGTCGATTCTTCATGACAAACACGCAAAGTTCCCATTAAAATCAGGGATTTAATTTTTTGCTGTTTGAAAAACTGATGAATGCGTTCTGGTTTTGCTGAAGAATTAGATCTTAAATCTTCGATAATGATTCATTTTCCACTTAAAGAGTGGGAAAGAAATTGGGTAGAATTCAGACGGTTTTGTTTGTTGCGAGCTTGTTTGCTCTATTAACGTAGAATTCCAAAACAGGACTTTAACAAAGTAAGCGCAGATGATTCTCGTTCGATTAAGTATCTAGGGATTGAATACTGAGGCGAAAGCTGTGGATGGTGAATGTTGTGAATACATTAACCATTATCTGTGTGCAGCAAAGGATGTCCATAATGTGGTTGTCGTTGCGCTGTAAGCCCAAGATCCGATAGACATGCATGAACATTGTATATATAACGGATGGAAAGAAATAATGGGATGCATCTTTCATGAAGCCATGTATATAGGAGCATCCCAAATATCGACGGCTCATTGCAAACATACCACTGCAAATAGTGCCACCAAACGCAGCAATGAAACTCACAAACGTTGAAAGCATGCGTCAACAATGTGTTGGTCGTAAACATACATCGATGCGCATGTGCATCCTCCTTGTTGTGGAAACAAGACAATACATGAGTTCAGCACAAACATATTAGTTAATTAGTAGCACTGGGTCTGGAATATCTATATGACTAGCTGCAGCAGTGTGGTGTCACGACTGTGAAATCTCAAAAGGCAAACATGGGACGTTGTTATGAGACTTGGTCGTGGAGGGAAGCCCAAAACAATCCCTCTCGACGATCGCTAAATGAGGATAATTGCTTTACGGGATCGCTTTATATCCTATACACAAGTAAACACTGAGTTCAGAGCAAGGACAAACATCAGACTTAGTGACAAAATGATCCGAAATCGCCTCATATCGACGGGAATCAAAAGTAGTCATCGTGATAGGCATCGTGTGCGACCGTCTCAAACTGATTTATTTTCACAGTGGTACGAGCAAAACCACAGATGTACATACCGCAATCTCATTTCAAAGAAAACTCTGATATATTAATGTGAGAATTATCAGTAATAGAAATATTGCCAAATTTCACAATTCATGATTGGCGTTGCATGTGTACCCCACATGGGTAGAGTGTGTGAGGCCCATTTCTGGTGGTGATATTGCTGGAATATTACTAAAAGTGGCGTAAAACCATACTCACTCACAGCAGTGTTTATCAAACACACATATATAGATTTGTACAAGACAAGAGGCAAACGAAAGACGATCATAAACCAAAGGTCTAAAAGAATATTTACGTACAACATTATCATGCTATTTGAAGTATAACTTGGTAGTACTCCTCACAACAAGTTGAGGAACACCCACAACTGTAACACTGTGTGTTGCAATGCCCAGAAGCCACAACAGATTAACCATAGTCATATGAAAGAATGGTGTGTTATTTCACTTCTGTTGACGTGAATTAATTAAAGATTATTGTCATGATCCGCCACGCGGTGACGGCTTGATAAAACTCTCCGGATCCAGGGCCTAAAAACAATCAATTAGTTTTTACACAAATCCAAGGATTGTTTTAAAAAACCACTTTCGTCTGTACAGTTATCACGTTTAAGTGAATAGTGAAAAAGTTTAATATTCCTTTCATAGGTAGAATTTAAAACGTGACTTGAAACATTCCCAGCTCTCTTTTATGAAGAAAACACACCTCAGCCCTAAAAGTGAAGAAAACAACATGACACCCCAGCCCAACCCATATTAAATGGTCTAAGTAAAACTTTTACATGTGGCTACCCCGTGTGGAATCTGGGTCAGAATAGATCCCAAACTTAAGCTCCTTGTGCCTATCTTTACGAGGCTACCAGATGGATCAAGAGACCATGCTGTACATGTGCCATTGATTGCGTGCCATTGCACCAGACAGCGAGGGATGTGGCTCGTAATATCAATCACTGCTTTGTATGGTCCAGACTCGATTAATTACAGGCCACTACAAAAAAAACATATACACAAACCGGTTTCTACGATATGGTGCTGCTCTATGTATTTAATATGCCTACAATCACGGTACATAAAGTACCGCGTGTTTTGTGGTTTTGCTGTTTTTAACCTGGGTGAAATTTCCGTTAGGATTTCCAAGCCTACAGACATTAAGTCACAACGAACACAACAAAAGGGGATACGTATTTCTCTCTAGATTGTTTCAGTCTTTGAAGTAAGAATAGAATGTTTTTTAACGGGCGATTTCTTCATCAAAAACATGTTTGAACATTTCATTATTTCCTGCACGGCTTACATCCTTTTGAAGGATTGTAATACTGATGTCAACAGCTACAATATCGTGTCATAGACTACAGACAGGGATAGCATACTTTACACCGTGCCACCATATCCCTTTTGTGTCGTGAAACATCACTCGCGAACTATTTCATGCAACATTAACTATTATTCTTTGATCTAAAGTTTCTTGTAATGTTTTACGAGTTGTCGAGGTTGCGTCTGTGGTTCATCATCTTTGCCAAGTGGAACTTCAACATAAAAACACACATCTACACGATTGGTAGGAGATGACTTCAATTGAAACGAACCATTAACATATTTCGCGTCCGTAATATGGATTACGGTTTCAGTTGAATAACTATTAAGCTCCACCGATGAGATTCCGGGACAGAAAGGATTGTTTGTACCCATGGTTGTCGTACAAACCGACTAAAATGTGAATCGACTGATCACTTCTTGATTATGTTTCATCGTACTCCAACGGGGTGTTCATACATTCAACCACTGGTTTACATGGTCACACTCGATCATTTACAGGTCGCCGTGATATAGCTAGATATAAATAACTGCGGCGTAAATCAACGTTCACTTATATTCAAAGCACTAGGGCACAACTGACAGGTGCGCCATGAAACACCCTTTTCATAATTTCATATGCGGAATTTTTTATTTAAACTTAAAAGAACTTTTGAACATCATTTTCGTACTGTAATGATGAGAAAAATAACTGCTCTGTTTTCAAAGAAGTGCTGGGTTACCTGAAGATGTAACCACCCTTAAGAAAATTTGAACCGAACCATCGGGGGTTTATTGTGATTATATAACATCTGATTGACCAATCAGAAGAGAGTTATTTCCAACTTCACGGTAGATTTCGTGTGTGTTTTTAAACGAGCACATGGTTTGCCGTTGAACGCCATGATGTAACTGAACCACTGTTGAAAGAAATGTAAAACCAAACTCACTCATTCCGATGTTTTGATTACAATAGGATCTATGTCATATCCTGAAGCGCAGAGAGACCTGGGGGGAATTATCCTTATTGAGACTAAGCCAGTGCTTGGAGCAATAGATCTTTTCTCTGATAGGAGGAGCCACGTACACTATTATTGAGAACATCCAGATCATGTCCAGCGAACACGTATTTTTGTCTTGTTTACCCCGAGGACAAACTATTTTATCCAGAATTTGTTAGAACGTATTATTTTTTAAACCCGTAAAATGACATTGCAAATACTGGTAATAACACTTTCTGTTTCGAAATGTCACTTTCTGTTCAAACTAATTATGCCTTAGTGTTTTTATATGCCAGCATTGGCTTACCTTTTTCTTAGATTCTGCCATCCTCTGGTCTCGACTAGACACAGCTTCCCCTGGTGGTTTGTTGATCCACATGACAAGTATAATTTGGCCATAGGTGATGGCCATCACTACCAGAGGCAGCATGTACTGCAGGATCAAGATAGCCGTGGAGTAGATTCTCTTCGATTGATCATCATCCCATATTTCCTCACAGAACGTTGGTGCTGTTGGGTAATCCACGTAGCGATGTGTTCTGGCATAATAGGCAGTGGGTGTAGGCACGGCTAGAGCCAGGAACCACACTATGCAGATAATAAAGAGGGCTTTTGATTTTGTCAGCTTTTGTCTGAGAGGGAAAATGATTGCCACATATCTATCCATGCTTATAGCAATCAGAGTGAAGGAGCTGAGAAACACTACGACTACTTGAAGGTAAGACCAGGCCGGACACAAGAAATCTCCAAAAGGCCAATAGTTAAGAATAAGATTTGCAACAAATGTTAAGGGAATGCAAAACAGCGCCATTAATAGATCACTAATAGCAAGGCTGACTATGAAGAGGTTTATCACTGTCCTCATCCGGCTTGCCCTCATTACTGTATAGCAGATGATCAAATTCCCACCAAAAGCAAGTATGACAATCAAGGAGTACATTGTGATAATGATGGTCTGTGTGTACAGAGGAACAACCAATGGTTCGTATCCTGGGGGTAACGGTGTACTGGCATTCCTCTCTAATACTGTAACATTGCTGTGATCTGCCGGGGCTTTACTTGGGATAATCATCTCGAATGTCAAATTTGGTTCCTCGTCTTCCGCCATGCCCAAACCATTCGTCATCCTGTTGACAAAATGAAGAGTACACATAAGGCAATAGTCTTCGTAAATATCAATAAGTCAACCTGAACATGTCAATGATATATCTGTGTTCACAAGCCACATTTCATAAGTTTTTTCGCGTATTACTATATAGTGTATTGTTTACAAGGTGATGCTCTCTTTTATTTAGGATCCAACCAATCACAAAATGTTCTCTCCGACACAATGACGTTTTAGGTTACAAATTGATATAATAAAATAGAATATTATTGAATTCCACCAAGAAGCTTGGAAACAGTTATTTCAACTGAACTGTTATGGACGTATCTTGTGTTTAATATTAAAAAAACTCAAGATAAAAGGGCACATTTTGCTGTGGACATATTTGACAAGAAAAGCAATTAATTTGTCACTTTTCTCTTTCACATGGACTTTCTCACTGACAGTTTAATGCATAACGTTACCGTGCAAACGGCTCTATGCGCGGTCACTCTATTACAAAGCAAAAGAAAACTGGTGAGGAAGAAGTGAAGCAATTTATTACCTCATTTCAAACAACAAGTTGCAATCGTCGGTATGTACATGTGCATCAGAGCACACTTAAAGATATGTGTCAGTAAAGACGTGTACATCTGTTTAAACTTATTTCAAAGAAGAACTGTAATTTCGAAAAACATGCCTCAATAATAGCTTGACATTATCTCTACTTCCTCTATCAAACTGTCATTCCATCAGATAGGATCTTTTCTCTCTCCCTAGTTTTCAACTTCATTAAATTGCATGTCTACTTATATGTAATTTGTTAACAGAAAATTGCTCTGTTGTTTTCCACGTCAGGAAGAGAATTTTCAGGCATGTTACCGTGAATAGCCTGAACAAACAGAACCTTCGTTTTGAAGGTAAAAAGTTAATACTCCTGTGACGTACGCGGTATATTGAGAAATTAACTTTCATAACTTTCAGGTTCACTGTATTGCTGCCATGAAGATTTGCACACAGATTAAGTAAATCTAAACCAAATTTGCTATCAGAACATGAAGAAAGCTGAGCATGATTTGTCAGATGATATACAGTTCAATTTTCAGTCATTGTTTACTTTCAGATTTAATTACATCTAACAACATATCTCATCATATTTTGATATCCTACAAGGACAATGACAATAATGAAAACAAAACCTATGACATTTGCCTGAAATTGAATCTATTTTGTTTCATCTCAAATTGACTGTATTAGATACTAGATGTTTTCTTTTCTTTTCTGTCTGCAATATTTCTTTCACTACACAGGTTCTTGTTTTCTTCTCGTAAAAGGCATAAGTTATACGGTTCATATAGGTACAACGTGGACCATATGATACGTGCTCCTGGCTTCAACAATGCCGGATACAAGATGTTTCATTTCAAGATGGTCGCCGCAGTAACACTGTCAATGGGTCAATTTCTTTTGAACCTTTTGTTTAAGGATAATACCTTTGGTTTGTTTTCTAAGTAGCATTAAGGTCAAACATGAACGTGAATACACATTTCCAATATATGAACATATTTCGCAATTCTTCAATGTATGCAAAAAGATATTTACCATGCAATTTTTGCATGTAAATATAAAACGACAACGCCAGAGAATTACCAATCTCGAATATACAAGGAAACCGTTTCCAATGGGCATACAAAAGGCAAAATTATATGAATGCATGCATAACATGTGTTCTAGTGAAGTTCACATGTCCCATATTGCGTAGAATATTTTGTTTCATGCTCGTAATGTTATGCTCCTGCTATAAGGATTCGACAACAAGATAGCTCAAGACAGATTTTCACTCAGTTTGGTGATGACACAATTGAACATTTGTTTAGCTATCAGAGCAAAACATTATAAAACTTATATTAACGAATTTAATCAATCCAAATAGAAAAACAAAAACCAATATTTAAGAACTATTTGCTGTATGGCAGCTATTATCAGCACGTACCTGTAGCTTAAGTATTTTTTCTAAAAACACTGTATATCAGCAAACATTTCATCAATGTTAATCCTTCACGCCGAAAGCCGGCTTCGATTCCCCACATTGGTACGATCTGTGAAGCCCATTTCTGATATTGATGGAACGTCGCCAAACACCGAGTTAAACCTAATTCTCTTACTCATTCCATGTTAATTTCGTTCTGATTCATCGCGTTTGTCCTACAGTGTCCTGCAGTCCTAAACAGGACTGTCAATGTATTTCGATATGCACTTTCACACAACGTTTTCCGGTATTTTACAATAGACATGACGAATGAAAAAAGCAAACTGGCGAACAGAATACACTGTACGTTTCTGAAGACTTATTTGAACCCAAAATCCTAACGGGAGATATCATAAGGCACATGTATGTTCGTACCAATATTCATGTTGGCAGTCGATGCGATGACCACCGTTACCTTCTGCAAATCGAATAATGTGTAATTTGGAAACACATCACGGATGCTATCGAGATAAAAGGTTTTGCGTATGTCTACAACGTATATAGATGACCTCACCGTCGACTGGTAGCAATATTCCTTCGAACTGACGTGCAAAGTAAGAGTGTGTGACCTTCGAAGACAGCTCTCTCTTATTACTCATTGATTACTGTTAATCAGTATATTTATTCATTTTCGGCGACACTTCGCCACTCGAAATGTCAAGACGGCTGATGATAATTCAATTTAACCCCAAAAGCACCTAGCAGAGACCATACAGACTATACTCCACTCAACAGTCAAATGTAACAATAAGATTATGTGTAGAATCCCAGGTTGTAACCCAAGAAAATGTAGCAGATGTTTTAAAATGATGTAGGTAATACTGTGTGTCAGTGTTTATAAACGGTTTTAAAAAAAAACTTCAATTATCGATTTAGAAGTCACACTGCAGCCACTGAACAACGGCCATGATGTTCCTAAACACAGTCACCATGTGTCATTTATTGGCAAGAGTTCTAAAATGCTCAAGGCATTAAATATTTACAAGAGAGCATCACAGAAGGAAAGTTCAAAATTGGTTTAAAGTGTCCGTGAGCGTAGACTATAAGTTTAGAATATGAATACCAGCAACATATCCTTGTGCGGATGAGTGAGTGGGTGAGTTGGGTTTGACGCCGCTTTTACTAGTATTACAGTTATATCACGTCGTGTCAGCTTAATGTGGGAGGAAAGACCGAAGTGATGCAGCTCTCAGACGTTTACCACTTCGGTGAAAAACACGAGCACGGGTATGGTGCTGACAAACCTAGAAACATAATTGGGGCGAAGCGGGATTCGAACCCACAATCATAGGTTTCTGGCGTGCTCAAGGGCCGCAACTCTGGACAGCGAATCGCGGCGCCTCAGGCGACTGGGCCACCCGTGTCGCCTTTGTGCGGATGACGTTCTATTTGAGAAATGACATATTTTGACAAAAAGTGTTTGATATTTCTTCTTGGCCATTGTTCATATTGATAGTCAGATCTGATACGGGTGTCTCGTTAGGTTACCAGGCATGATAGGAAAACATAATCTCAACATGTAAAACGGATTAAACTTATGCTAATTAATCTATTGTTCGAGCTGTGATTTATAAGAATATTAATAGTTTATCATGTATTTATTATTAGTTACAATATGTTTATCAACCTGGAAACGTAGTACGAAAGCAAAGATGAATATAATACATTGTTTCGAACACCCGATACATTTGCCCAGGCCACACCCGAAATCGATACAACGAGGTTCGACTGTATTATAATTATTACTGCAACTCGCGGTTTTCTGAATATCATTTGCGGCTATGGCATTTATGTACATCACAAAACCTGCACACAACATTTCGTGCCAATACATACAATCCCAATTGCAAAGTACCCAAAAGGATTGGAAACCAATTAAGTGATTTATCTTATTTATTAAAAACAAGACTTGGTTTATGATCCTCACAACTGAGTGCATGTGCTTTCACACGGCTTCTTTTCAATATTCCAGCAATATTACGGGGAGGGACAAAAGAAATGGGCTTCACACATTGTACCTATTGGGAGTTGAATCAAATCTGAGGCTTGAAGCACTAGCTAAAAGATGCCGCACCGCCCCTTATCAGCAAAAGAGTTTAAAACTAACATTTTGCTCGCGATCGACTGAAAATACTGATATGAATTAAATAATTCCATTAACAGACGTTAGCAAGGTAAGTTAGGATAGCATCATCAAGAAACGTAATGATTTTCCCTTGGTTAACAAATATTAAATTCTCTATAGCTAAGAGCCAGCATTGCTTTCGTGAACACGTCTTCAGGCCTTTTTAACTTACACTATCATGAACTTCGTCTGGTGACGTCGTAAATGAAAATGTGGATCCATTGAACGATAGATTTGTATAATTATTCACTATCTTACGGTAAGTAAAGAGATGAGTAATGGCAGCATCATGTGATGACAAGACATTGTTACATTGGGGTTACACGTCCTATAGCGTTCGTTAACCCCGATTCAACATATGATAACTAATGGTCACACATGTCATACAGTCCAAAGCCAGGCACCACTAATATGATGTCAACACAGCTTGGGGTGACAGTGACTATTGTCGATGGGATTCGCAGTGGCTTTAGCTTTTAGTGGTTCTTCGAATGACTTCCTTAGCTGACATTCTAACCAATTTGCTAATTAACTTTTTCTGCCTGCTTGAAAGCTAAGATGAACCACCAATCTACTAAGGGCGCTCTGCATTTGTACTTACTAAATGTGTAGGAGACAAACAGTTAGAACCATAGTTTAGCATCAGCACCACGTGCGTTGAAGATATGTTTCACTATATGGTTGATAAAGTACTTCTCCTTTGATTTTGTTTTTCAGATTTCTTCATCCAAGTTTTATTCCTCAGGTATTTCTGGAGAAGGATCACATATCACATTTAAGTTCATCTCAGGGTAAAAATGTTGAATGCTTTTCAAATTACATGTTATCTCAATGTTAATTCTGCGAGTTGGAGTTGTTCACTTAACTTGATAGTCTTCTGGATATTATA